TGAACTTTGCGGTCCTGGCATTGTGAACATTTTGTGGTCCATTGTTTTCAGAAAAACAGTTTTATAAACTGTATGTTGTTCGAGATTTCATAAATGTAATTTAATTGTGGAATTACTCTAGGAGAATAACGATCGCTTTTGGCACTAAAGGCGTAAGCCAAAGTTTTGTGATCAGTGAATATCACGGAATCTCTACCTTGCAGTAAGTGTTTAGAATGTTTAACCGCTAAGTTAATAACCAATAATTCTCCACCAAAAGTGCTGCATCCCGTCTGAGCTGGTTCTAGTTCTTTTGGAAATAAAGCAAGTGGTTTGATTTCATTATTTACTCTCTGTTGTAGTATCGTACCTGCTGCTGCCTGAGACGCTTCTGTACACAGAATTAGTGTTGCTTTCGAGTCAGAACTTAGGTAGGTTAGCATGATAGTAGAAGCAACTGCTGTTTTAGCTGCAGAGAAAGCATCTTTCGCTTTGGAGGATAATATGAACTTTTTGACTTTGCCTTTAAACGCCTCCGTTAAATGTTATAAAATGGCTAAGCAGTATGGAATAAGCCGACGGTAAAAATTAATCATCCCCAAGTAACGTTGGAATTTATTCAATGAATCTGGTTCTAGAAAATTTTTGATGGTTGTAATTTTTGTGTCTAGCGGTGTGATACCACGTTTGTCAGTCGAGTGACCTAAGAACCCAAGCTGTCGATTCCAAAAATGCATTTAGATGGATTAAAAACTATACCAAATCTCTGAACTCTCCCGAATAGTTGATGTAGATTATCAGTATGTTCGTGGAACGAACTTCTAGCTATTAATACATCGTCAATATTTACAAAAACAAAATCTAGGACTTAAGTAACCTCATCCATAGATCATTGAAATGTCTTTGCAGCGTTCTTTAATCCAAATTGTATTCTCAGAAATTCAAATAAATCAAAACGAGTAATGATGGCTGTTATGCTATATACTCGGATGCTACTGCAGTCTGACGATACGCTTACACAAGAATGAGTTTAGAAAAAAGTTGTTCACTTAGCGTAAGCGGAAAATCGTGTAAATGGAGTAACGATCAGGTAACGCAAGGTTATTCGATGACCGATAATCGCAGCAAAGGTACCAATCCTGGTCTGGCTTAGGTAGCGTGTGAAGTGAGGATGCCAGGGGCTACTTGACGGACGTATTATTCCAAGTTGCATCATGTGCTAAAATTCAGCTTTCACAACATTAGGCTTGTCCAGAGGTGATCGATGTGGACGTGCCGAAACTGGTTGGCTTATTGTGGTGATTCGACGTACTACGGAATGTTGGATCATGTTTTCCATTTGGTCTGATTTCGTTATCTTGGAAAATTTAGATAAAATATTAGCGAATATGTCGTTTAATGGCGTGTTGATTTTAGTACTACATATGTGACAGTTCGCCTGAATTTCCAGAACTTGAAGTTCTGTGCAAGAGTCGATAAAATTTCTTTTTTAACATCAACTAATAAATTGTAGGAGCTTAGGAAGTCTGCACCTGATGTGGGTAACGGACATCGGCGATAACACCCAGGTTAGACGGCGCCTAACTCTTAAGTCTAATGTCACGAGTTCCGCAAATGTCATTATCTCAGTTTTATTGGTCGCTCGTGAGAAGTATTTTCCACTTTTAACAATAGGTCTCTTGACTAAGGTAACTGGAATAACACTGACTTCGGCTCCAGTGTCTACTAAGAATTTGTAGCCGAAACTCTTGTCAAGGACGTGAAAGATGAGACTAGGGGCATTTCCAGTAACATTTGTCGTTACTACTGTCTGGTGATACGTTTTGACAAGGAAAATTGCTCCAAAAATTTTCAGAACGTAACATACTTCTTAGCTTTGTCGCCATACTTTCTATGGTACCAACAAATGTGATCGTCATATTTGTTTGTTCTTATGGTGACCGGGTTCTTACTCCCTCGGGAACAGGAGCGAGACCTTCGAGACATGAGGTTGGGACTTAATGATCGTGATGCACTTAGTTTGTTTTCAAAACTAAAAACAGTACGTGCGTGGTGTGTACGTAGGTCACTTTATTCAGCTGTTAACGATACTATGATCGGGGTTTGCGTGTCACTCGGAGTTTCTGATATCGTCTACACGTAAGGTGTTGTGCCAGGTGTTGCTGCTAAAATATCGTCAGCCATGCCGGCTAGACTCTCTAAATCTAAAGGTTTGCTAGAAATACAGAGAATTTGCCTGACTACCGTTGGTAAACATTGCAGTCAAATTTCTTTCAGAAAAGCATCAACAACCTTATAAAGTTTAACAAACTGCTTCATCTGGCGCAATAGTTGGAAGGGTGATTTTTCACCTAACTTGCACTCGTGCAGCAATTGTTGCTACTTCTTTTCATCATTTACCAAGGTATGTTGAATAATAGCGTGTTTCAATTGATCATAGGCATTAGATGCAGGGCCACTATCTGTAAGATCCAGTACCTCAAATGCTACTTCACTCGGCATGATTCAAAGCACAAAAGAGTATTTTGATGCCTGTGAATGTATGTTATGATGCTGAAACTGTACTTACAACTGTGCAAACCAATTATGTGTGTTTATTCTACTGATTGGAGGTACATTTATCAAGTTTGTTGGTATGATCAGTTGGGTTAAAGAAAATGGCATCTCTAGCGACTGAAGCAAAAGAGTCGTCATGTCACTTTCTCGTAATATTTTTATTTATGTTGTACTAATCGCGCTGAAAAACGTTTATGTGATTAGTATCTAAAATCAATTATGGATAGAATGTAGTCTTTGCAACCTAGTTACACATAAAATGAGTGTACGTCTTCAAGCTCATGCCACCTCTTGTCTTAATCCATATGCGGACCTAAACTTGAGGTCATTTGCTCTTTTTATTATCACTAAGTGCTGCTTGTGTTTTTGGCAGTGTCATCAGGATCCTCAAACAACTATATATGGATGATCTTGTGAATTGAAGAGAAATACAGGGTCCCTCATATGTTTCAACGTTTTGGGGAAAAGCAAGTAGGACATAGGACTGGAGCGTCAAAAACATCCGCCGACTTCACGTTGGTAACTCCTTATGATAAACATTAGTATCATACCAACCTCGTACTTTCTAGGTGTCTCTAGTATTGTACACCTTAACGCCAGAAAATCACCAGAGCGGTAGCTTACGTGATGCTTAAGGAGCATCCGCTCATTGTTATTCTGTTGCCGAAAAAGCACTTTGTCTTAAAATTTCTTGCAGAACTATTTAAAATCGTTTCTAGTGTTTACTTAAGATTCAGTTAATAAACCCCAGTATTATGGACCCTTACATAAAAAAACATCTCATCCCCTTGAAACGTGCTCTGAAAAAAAGCATGAATGAAGGCTTTAATTGTGCAACATGAGCACAAAAGATTAGTTGGAGGGTAAGATCTAATAATTGGGAATCACAGTGGCCTTAAACCTTACCCCAGTATATCACTTATGCGTTTCAGTAGTTAACTGCATCTATAAGGATATCCATTTATGCTAATACGGAGAGCTTAAATAAAAATGTATGCAAGCGTTTTCACAGTTAAAACTGCTAAGTGTCGAAACAACTTAGGAGAAAGGACAATAATGACAGTTCTAGTGAATCTCCTTAAACAAGGCTTGAAGATTAGTTCTTTATATACTGAAATAGACTACGATAGGTGGTCCTACCTCATCACTTTTTCTGTATATCAACCGATGTTTTACCTCTTCGTGCTAGAAAGGAAAATAACAAAAATTATGTTTCTCAATATTTATAACCCCTCTCCTACGTTCCAGACCAGAATAGTGTGGGACAAACAGTTCATTGATTTTGCTCATTTAAATTGAAAAGAGGGAGGAAGTGGAAATCGTCACTGTGAGAAAATAGAGACATACAGCGACAGGTATCTTCATCTAGCAGTACCATTTAAAACTAACAAGGTCGCTGTAAATGTTCAGTGACTACAGATATGTTTGCTTTTAAGAATGATAAACAGAAATAGGTAACATGAACATTGTTAGGAACTTTACTATAGTACTAATTTATGATCGGTGGAAATGGCTTAGTGCTCAGAGAGATCTATTGGTTCGAATAGTTCCAGATGGAATAGAAGACACCCTCTAATAACGATCTTCTGTGTCTAGAAGCAGTGGATCACCGAGTCCTCCAAGTTTGGATATGGTTAAACAAAAAAGCAGAAGCAAATGAGGACGCCATAGGTATTTCTTGTTTGACAACACTTCGTCCAGTAACACCTATAAATGAATCGTCTCCACCCAGTGAGATCAAAAGTCAGAAGCGGGGAAGTTCAAGGATATGTCCGGTAGACTATCAATATACAGAGAAACGACTGGTCTAAACTGTTGTAGGAGAAGTTGAGCACGGCATCCCCACTCGTAATCTGGAGCGGATTCATGTCTGAGCGCCTTCAGTTAGGTGAGTCCATTAAGACCAATGTGGTCGAAGACTTGCAGAGCCATCGATTTTGGGATTTATTTGCCGTTACATAAACATCAGCATATTGGTATGAAATACTATCGACGAGTAATAATAAATTAAGCTACTGAATACCGAGATTGATTTCGTTCTTGACTGGATTTTGGTGAAGTTACAGCCAGACCATGCATGAAACTTCTAATATGTGTAGTAGACACTGGTAAGTTATCGTTATTCTTGATTGTTGCAGTGAGTTTGAGAAGACTGAAAAAGTCCGACCGCGCAGTATTTAAGTTGCGCCAAAGTAATGGCAACTGGCAGTTCGGGTGATAGCTACTATTGCCACTCTTGCGAGGCTGAGGTCGTCCCAAACTTGCAGGTTATTTTCAAATAACATTCGTTAATTATTGTCCAGGACTTTACATGCTCGGCGTGCCACTCAGGTTTCATTGAAGCAATTAGCCCAGGGTAATTTACTTTCTGCTCCTTTCCTATTGTTTTCAGAAGTGGTTTATCATCGAATCAAACAGAAGTATATATCTGTCATTCTAACCTTTATTTATGACAGTTAGATGCAATGCAGATGATAGGCCAGCTATTTGGAGGTTCTCTTAGCGACAATATTGTTCGCTATTTTGCAGCACCTAGGGATGACCTTAGTTCAACAGATGATGAGTCATTAGAAAGGGAAAATTTAGCTAGAAGGTCGCGACGATCGACAAGAAATTCAAATAGTAGGTCGACACGAGAACGTGTGTATACTCGTGTTCCGGATGGTCGTCATGCTTTTTCTACTCGCATCCAGTTATCAAGTGTGGATCATCCATTCAGATTGCCATTCTTATCGAACTTTGCCTCAACTGATGGAGATGTGCAAAATTTTGTTTTAATAGAGGTGAGTATGTTTCTCAAATGTATGTTAAATAAATTAGTTTCACTGCTTATTATACTGTCACCATATTCGTCTAAGATTTTCTTAGGGCAACTAATGTATAAAGATTGAGATATTTATCTGACAACTATTTTTTGGTAGTGGGTGCACTACTTTTGGTTCAGTATAACGGCTAACTTTACTCAGGAAGTCACTAAAAGTGCTCGTTTATGCTAAGTGTTTCGATGAAAGTTGGTCCACTCATCTCAACTTTTAGACATCTGGCTATCAATAGAACTGATTTTATAATCTGTATCTGTACTACACTATATTAGTATAGGGTGTTTACGGAAGCTATCAAATTTTGCAGTTTACACAATAGACTGACCTCCGACAACAGGTTATTGGCTAAGGCCGGTCTGTGATGCAAACCACTGTTCTTTATGATTGTCAATTAGGTATTAAATTAGTTATCGGCTAATGTGTTTAATCTTAAGCTGCTTTTTTGTGGCGTTACTACATGACTGCCTGAATATATGTTCCGGACCTGTGACTTTCAGGCTAAAGTAGTGTAACCCAGCCACTAAACCGACTCTCTCCCGTTCTAATTTCTATAGTTAATTGAAATTCTAAGTTATGAGAATAATTTCTAGTCATTTACTGTCTTTTTGTCGCGGCTACGGTGTTTTTTAAAGTAGAAGTGCAGTAGGGAAAAACTCAGTGGTTGCCAAACTAAACCAAAGGATTACTCTGTAAAATCATTTGTAACTGATTCGTACAAATTCAGCTTTTTTCTTTAGTGTATTAAAAGGCTAGTAGTTGGAGAATAGATTACCTACTTAAGAAGTTTTAACTGCTCAGACTGTCTTCTTGACAGCTGTAAACCATAATAGTGTGGTTATCACGTCCTCCTTTTGAGGTATTGATAGGTAATCATCTTTAGATGCTCTTTTTGCTATCTCCCCTATTCATTTGACTCGCCTACCACCTGTTCATACTTCGAATAATGAAAGGTTAAGAATGCGTTCATGAAAAAAATAGCTAGGAACTCACCCGATCATGAAAATCATCCCGAAAAAGCTTGTAGTGTTACCGATAGATCTGTTTAAAGAACCTTGTATATGTTAGTAGTTTTAGTCTGAAGGTTAAAAAAGGTCAATGGGTTTCGTAAACCTACTAAATTGGTAGCTGCTCTGAAATCTATCTAGGGATTTCCATCGACTCTTAGGAAGGAAATGCAGCAGTACCTGTTGGGTTCACTTCAGAGGTCTACTAGAATGGTGGTCTATCTTTGATAGTTAAGTTGACTGGAAAAGTTTGGGAGTCAGATCTACTACCGTCTGCCTGATCTTTATTGATAATCGTCCCAGTTTATAGGGAGGGTTTAAAATCCCCCCGTAAAAACACAAGAATGGCTATGGCTAATATGCTGTCTAAAATATTAGCTTCAATAATCATCCCTCACTTATTTGGAACTCAAGAAGAGCAAACTCCAAAAACCAGGTTGGGTTCGTATGAATGTGGATGTGTCAATCAGACATTACCATTGGTTAAGTTATGAAACATGTACCCATTGCCATCCTTAATCGCATTTCAGGAAATGAAGGTGACATTTGGATACTTTGACTGGGGGTTTGCTTGGCAGTGCCTGACTTTGAATCATCATTCGCGTCTCGGCGGACTGCCGAGTGAGTGGAGGTGATACTAAGTGTCGCGTATTAGGTACTTATACGAAAATAGTTGATGTAGTTGTAACTATCGGTTGAAGTGACAGACAAAACAGAATGTTATTAAACATCTCATTGTTATCTAATTTAACACAGCTTGAAGTAACGAAGTTGCTATATAACTAATAAAGACATGTCTCCATATGCATAATTAGCCATTTTCGTTTTTTAAGCTATGCTTGATCAGTTTATCACTGTGATAATGAATGAGTTACAAGTGGGTCCACCACCTGCCCCAGAATCAGCCATTGCAGACTTACCTACAAATATTTTGACTGAAGAACAAGCATTAAAGTTGGGTATTTGTTCAATATGCTTTGATGATTTCAAAGAATCCGAATCAGTAATCAGACTACCATGTGCTCACACCTACCATCAAACTTGTGTTACAACATGGTTAAAACAGGTTAGTATTCTGTATATACTTTATTTTTTTTGTAACAGTAAAAGAAAAATCTAATTTTTGATCTATTTTGAACATGTTTAACTCGGTTGAATCGATTCTGGTCGCAGGTTTGAACCTTTGTTTTCTACCTAACAAATAGTGAGCAACAGGGTGAGACCTTTGACGTCTTACTCGTATAGTCTATGGTCTGGTGTGTAAATATACATGTGTTTGCTAATTCTCACTTTCATTTCAAGCTAAACATATAATTTGTAATCTAGTCAATTTAATTATAGCCTTTATTGTGACTCTCTTTAATTGATCCCATGTAAATCATACTGCTTTTTACTTTCACTAAGTTGACCTTCCAAGTACGTTCTTGTGTAACGCTACTCATGAATCTTCAGTGAAACTAAAGCGATTGAACACCTACCTGGCTATTTAATATCGAATTTAGAGTCTTTAGATTATTGGTTCAAATTTGTTCTCTGCTATCAGAATAGTTCAGTGAAAGTCTTGTTTTTTTTTAACATAATATGTTCCACTACATGAATATGCTGCCAAGATTTATTTTATAGGATTAGTGTCGAATGAAGTCAATCTGAATTTCGTTTTCTGTGTTGGTTACATGTACAATTTTAACGGGGCAGCCTTGTCTATCTTGGTATTTACGTTCATTATTCATTTTGACATTGAATCGTATTTATATCTAAATTATCACTTTTTATATATTTTTTCTCCGAATTGTATTTATAAAAATACGTGAATACAAACTACTGACTTGTCTATTGAGAAATAACGATAGTTGATTGCCACTTCACTTTCACTTTTCTCAGCTTGATAATTTCCCTACTGTATTAATTTGAAATGTGGCAACTTGGATCTAATGTCCTAAATTCTGTGACAATAACGAAAGCAATTCTTTATGTCCATTGTACTTGCTTGTAGATAACTCAATCATTTAAGTTGAAAAATTCCTACTGCACCTCAGTTAATGTCCCGAACCTTAATCAGCGGTCTGATGAGATCAGTGAAATGACCAATATGATTGAACTGATAACTTACCCACTCAATCTACCCTAGAATTATAATCGATCATGACTGGGGAAATAACTTAATCGGTTATGAAGGAATTAAAACTGTTCGGTTACGAAATATGCAACCAAGGTTGCTCATTCGAGTAATTACCAAAAATAATGACTACTTATAGGTAAAAATATGACGGAAAAACAACCAATAATCTCAAATCATACCATTATTTCTCAATAAAATGATGAATTCATGGAATACATTTATCTAACAAAATTGTTTTTGTTCTCTTGTAATGTTGAGACTGTATTTATAGAAGTTTGTTGCTAATAACTTTTTAAACTATGGGATTCGGTTGTGGATAGGAAAAAAGGAATACATGTTACGGGTGATTGTTTATTTCACAAATCTACTCACCGACCAATGAACTACAATCAAGGCCTTAACGCTTACTGGTCCCGAAACCCTTCCTATTCCGGTAGCCAATCAATGTATGCAGATTAATCCTCTGTTGTACTTAGTTCAGTTGATAACTCAAAACTCATACTACCATATACTTGAAATGACTGACGTCACAGCACACCAAGTAAGAAAGTATACTTAAGACACAATCATACCATAAATGGCAGCGGGTGGACCGGATAGTGTAAAGTTAATTAGCAATAACTAAGGTATAGTAGGACGTTTAGCGACAGTTAATAGGTCCACTAAAGGCATAGAATGAGTGGAATATAGAAATGTAGCAATAAATTTATCTGCCGATTATACAGCAAATTATAGATAATAATCATAACCCGATAGTTCCAACCTCTTCAATATTTTCTCGTTATAACAAGATAAATTTGATAGTCAAGAGTAGCCTCATGACATCATTGAATATATCATATGTATTGATTAATACTCCTTCACTACAAACAGTCGATTTTATTTGCAGTGAACTTGTCCGGCGATAGCTCAGTTGGTAGAGCGGAGGACTGTAGATTGGTGCAGTGATCCTTAGATCGGTGGTTCGTATCCGCCTCGCCGGAGATGGTGGGCTTACCCGACCGTTGTTGCTACCTTGACGTGGTGGTCGGGCTTGCCTATCGTGATGAAGCAACCGAGCTATACTGGCTGGAACAACCGTTCCTCAAGGTCCTACCATGTCAGACAGGTCGGTTGAAGAGCGGTAAGACTAAAAGGAGAGACATCGTCTAACATGGCGACCCCCTACACCAAACCAACGATGGACTCAAATAGACCATATTGCCATCAGTCATCGTTGGAGAGGGTCGGTAGAAGATTGTCGCTCATTCTGGAGTACCTGCTTGGACTCCGACCATGCCCTAATACGGGCACGCATCTGCTTGCGCCTCACCGGACGCAAAAAAGCCACATTAAAAAGACCCATTAGAACTGAGTTGAGTAACGAGAAAACCAAAAGTAGGTTCCAAGAACAACTGAGTTCACACTTAGGTAGTTCTGAAGACGAGGCTGACCCAGATGTTGCTTGGAAAGACATACAAGCAGCTGTGGAAGCAGCAGTGACATCTATTAGCGACTTAAACCACAGAGTTACAAAGAACCAGTGGATTTCTTCAAAGTCTATCACACTGATGGATTCTCGCAAACTCGTCCCATCAGGTTCCGAACATGATGAAGAGCGACAACAAATCAGATCTAGGTTAAGAAAAAGTCTAAGAAACGACCGTGAGCAGTGGTGGGCAACGAAAGCAAAAGAGATGGAAAAGGCGGCGACTATAGGGAACACAAGACAGCTTTACAGACTAATAAAAGAAACTGGAATTAATAAGTCAAGTGTAAGTGAGATTATATCGGAAAAAGGCGATACTCTCATCTGCTCCCAGTCCAGACGTTTAGAACGATGGGCGGAACATTTCAGAGAACAGTTCAGCTGGCCTTCAGCTACTCTACAACTACCCTCCATTCCCAGACAGCGTGAATGGAACATTGAAGTAGGTCCCCCAACTCTCGCTGAAGTTCAAAAGGCTATAGTTAATCTGAAACGAGGAAGGGCAGCTGGTCCAGATGGACTGGCTCCAGAAGTCTTTAAGGATGGTGGTCCAATTTTAGCGACTAGGTTGACTAATATTTTAGCTAAGATCTGGGAGTTAGACGTTATCCCATCTAACTGGTCACAATCACTTATCGTCCCAATATATAAGAAAGGGTCAAAATCATCCTGTGACAACCACAGAGGGATTAGTTTAACTAATATAATATCTAAAATACTAGCCTCGATAATTATCAGACGCCTAACTAAGACTCGTGAACTGCAAACACGAGAGAACCAAGCTGGCTTTAGACCTGGTCGTGGCTGCATCGACCACATATTCACCATTCGTCAGATTCTAGAACACAGGCATACTTATCGGCGTCCGACAATGGTGGTCTTTCTCGACTTAAAAGCAGCATTTGACTCGGTAGACCGCGAGATTCTGTGGCAGTGTCTGTCATTGAAAGGCGTACCTCAGAAGTACATAAACCTTGTGAAGGCTCTTTACTCGAACACTACTAGTCGAGTCAGAGCTTATGGCGAACTGTCATCTACTTTTGCAACCTCAAGTGGTGTCCGTCAAGGATGTCCACTTTCCCATTTTTGTTTAACTTCATCATAGATCTACTGATGGAAATAACTTTCTCGTCGACTGAGTTCTCGGGTATTGATCTCCATCCAGGAGGTCCACTTATCGACTTAGAATACGCAGATGACATAGTCCTGTTTGGTGAAGACGCTGACAAAATGCAGAGTCTTCTGGTAGCACTGAGCAACAATGCCAGAATGTTTGGAATGCGCTTCTCTCCCTCTAAATGCAAGTTGTTGCTTCAGGACTGGTCTGCGTTAACACCTGAACTAAGGATAGGGAGTGAAGTAGTCGAACGCGTTGACAACTTCACTTATCTTGGAAGTCTGATCAGCCCTAATGGGTTGGTGTCTGACGAAATCTCAGCACGGATTCGAAAAGCTCGTTTGGCTTTTGCCAACTTACGTCACCTTGGCGAAGGCGAGATATCCGTCTATCAATAAAAGGACGAGTATACTGCGCGGCAGTCCGTTCTGTTTTAATTTACGGCAGCGAAACATGGCCATTAAGAGTAGAAGACACTCGTAAGCTACTAGTATTTGACCACAGATGCCTTAGAAATATTGCTGGGATCACCGGGTAAGTAATAGTGAGGTTAGACGCAGGGTATTAGGGAATGATGGTAAATCAGTTGATGAGGTTATGAATCTTCATCGACTGAGATGGTTGGGCCACGTGTTACGTATGCCTGAACACCGATTACCACGACGTGCAATGCTATCCGGTATTGGAGATGGTTGGAAGAAAGTTAGGGGCGGCCAAACCAAAACGTGGCATCAGTGCTTGAAGTCACTAACTTGTAGTCTGAGCCATGTTGGTAGATGCAGACTACTTGGTTGGGGTCCGCGTGACTATCGTAACCAATGGTTGGAGACTCTTGGTGACATGGCTCAGAATCGATCACAATGGCGTCGGTGTATACACTCCCTGTCTTCCCTTAAACTAAGAGATTAAAATCGCTTCATATCTTTCTTTCTACGAACCAATTCTTTCTTCTTGTATTATATCTCTATATGCAATCTTTCTCTTATATATTACCACCTTTGACATAACCACTGCTATGAATCCGGTGTTCATCTTGTTGTGCTGATGCGGTATGGCAACCTGGACCGATGCACATATGTGCCTGGTCCTACGTTGTAGCTGACTGACTGACTGCAGTGAACTTATAAGGAGATGTATAGAAACTGTAATTTTTGTTTTTGTAATAAAACAGTTGATACTCAGGTTCATGATGGATGCCAACTTCTAATCCAACAATGAGTACGTACTAATGACAGTTAGATCATGCAGTCGTGTGATCAATAATAGATCTTCTTTCAGTCCTTTATTATTGTAAAGCTGGAGAATAGACCGCTCAAAAACTTAAGCAATCAACTAGAATTTTCCTGTTCCCCACATAAATAACAATAATTATTATTAATCACTTTATTCGACATTATATTTTTGGTACAATATAGAATTCTCAGCACAAAGTATTTCAACAAGTTTCCTTTCCTTATTTCTTCATCTATCCTAACGATAAATATTGAGTTATCACCAGTTAGATGATGTTAGCAGTGCAGGGATCGAAATCTGAACAATGGTCATTCTTTTCAATGCGTACTGACATCCAACACAATGTCTCTGTACTTTTTTGTAAGTTGTACGGTGAAAGATTGTAAACTTTCCATAAACGCGTCTAAATAGGTTATGCGATTAAGAGCCATAATGATGTGTCAAAACAAACAAAATATAGGTAACTTGTTGAGATATGTTGATGTCAGAAACAGGTAGCCAGGATATTCAAGCAGGTCGCCAAAGTACTTTCATGGTACTGAAAAATGACAGTTTGCTTAACATTTTTAAAAACATTCAATTACATTTGTTGTAGAAAAAGAACCGAGTTAATAGCATCTCACTTTTGTATGCATTACTAACAAGATTAGATGAAATTTTAGAATGATTGCTTGCGTATAGAATCATCGATTGAACAATACATTCCGTTCGGTATTTTTTTATTATTTAAGTACAAAGGTATCCTCACTCAATCTGCTATAGTAACTTGTTCCTATTGATACCGTCAAAGATTATTTAAGTAACATCTGTAGCCATTCTTAGTAAGTTTGGATATTATCCCAAATTCGTCCACACCTAAACTAGGTAAAAATGATGTGGGAGATGTAACTTTGGTTAAAATCACAGTTCAAAACGTTGCCTGTAATATATTAACACGAAAGTTGAGGAAGACTTAACAATAATCAAACAACCACTAATACGAAATGTCTAAATTTGCTGCATCCATGTGTGTGTATCATTTCTGGTTGTGAAGCCAGTTATACAGAAAACAAAATTCAGCAAGTTCATCATTGTATCGCTGAACATTATCTGACATGGGTAAAAAGAAAAACAAGGTCGAACAAAGGTTCAATTTTCGCTCACTTGGTTGACAGCATCATGCTGATTCAAATACAGCTCTTCGTGTTATTCACCATATCCCATCATACCGTATAATTTACGGTTCTTACTTTGCATACTGATATTACTCGCTAACTTTTGTGTTCAGAAAAATGTTTGCACAATCCTCCCTAATTTGGCGATCGACAAAAGTCATAACAAAGCAGGTTGAAAAGAAACTTGGATTCTCTCCACTTTTCTCAGTTGTTCTAAATTCCACTTTTTATTAAGACGTAATCTTTACATTCGTCTCTTTAATTCTTACATAACCATTACTAAACTAATTTGTTATCAAGATATTTTTGCTAATTTTCTTATCAGGTGTTTTGTAACCCGTTGACCATTGAACTGCATGTTTCCAATTTCTACAAGTAAATACTTTGATCATTATGGTTGTTTTACCATGTTCCTTCCAATTTCTTAGTCATTCGATATTTTCATAATCACGGGTGAAACTTATTATAAGTTATATATATATATATATATATATATATATATATATATATATATATATATATATATATATATATATATTAGAGACTAATGGAAAGAAAATATTTTTCCCCCTATTCATCACATTACTTTTGTTGCAAAACAATAACAAAAAATTCGTACTTTTCAATTTCCGACTTTTTAGCATGGAACTTGTCCAGTTTGTCGAAAGGATTTATCCGGACGTGATACTTCACGATATGAAGATCCACCTCCAAACTTAACAGGAAATAGTAATGGTTCAAGCTCTTCCACTTCCTAGTCTTCATTATTCTTTCGATTTTTCTAAAAATAAATATAAAACCGCAAATTATATTCATTAAATTTGTCTATTTTCACACAAACACTTCAAAAACAGTCCAGCTAATATATATATATAGTTATCGAAGTGTGTCAGCGAGATGCTGTATAGTTTCATCATTTTCTCTTTTTTTCTGTCTCTTCCCATTGTGTAGCATATTTTTTCCTTGTGTATGTATGATGAACCCAACCAGCCCTGTGTTAATTTGTGTTTGACAAATTTTCCCTGTTTCTTCTAAAATTCAACTTTTCTATCAAGATTTTTTTTTACCAAGATTGTTACATTATCTTACCCAATTAATTTCGCACTGACTATTAAATGCGTCCATCCTACTTTGTTTATCACTATTATTATTGTTCTTGTATTCACTAGCTTCGTGATAAGACTACTACTTGCTTTCTAATCCCACTCCACCTTTTTGCAGAAATAAAGTGAATACTCAGAAGAGGGTTTTTCATACTTCTCTACTTGTATTGTAGCAATTGTCAATTAATTATCAATCAATAAAAATAAAATGGCAAAACGATATTTCCTTTGGTTCAGTCTAATTGTTTATTTCGTCCGTTATTCGAATTCTCGCTTCATTATTTTATCTCATTATCAGTTACTATTCCGTAAAGATATACAGATAAGTGTTATTGAAATTTCAGTTCAGTACCTATGTCATATGAAGAAAACTTGAGTATATATAAAACTAATTAGCTATTATATGTTTTGTTGACAATTTCAATATCTTTTTTACTTTATCTAAAATTTATTTCGATTCGTCGCTTCTCTAAACAATCCGTAAAGGGGTTTAACATTTATCTGATTACCCTGTCCCAAAATAAATCAATCCGACTGGACATGTCGATAATTAAGGTTGGTAGAAATATTCCTGCACCCTTTCAAGTTTGACTTTCAGTTTCAGTCCTCATTATTGTATTAGCGAAATCCACTAACCAGTATTGTTTCCTCACCAATCAGCTTTAATGTTACTATATTTGTTCTTTATTTTCATTAAACGGACAAAATCCAGTTTAACAATGAATGTGTAAATTATGTCTTTAATAGATTTGTCGTGACACGTGAACTTCAGTTACATTCCATTCTACTGTTTGTTGGGTTTCAAATATGTCAAGTGCACTGTTCTCCGGTACAACACAATGATCAGTCTACGTTCTTTTATATAACATTTAAAGGGTCGAATAGTTGGTCGATCATATGATCCCTTCTGAATTATTGGGAAACATAACTCCTACTTATACGCAGGTTGGAAATGTTATAAAGACCAACCCTTAAAATTGGGAACTAGTGTGGTACCTCATGACAGTGTTGACCAACGTTAGTACTTTCTAATCAATGGCATAGCCCTTGACTTCTCAGACACTTGTTATTGCTAAAGAATTGACACATCGCGAGTGCAGATCTTAACGTATAAACTAAGACTGAAGATTACTACTAAATACTAGTTAGCAACATGATCTCCTTCTTGTGATTCCCTTTGAGTAGTTGTAGTAGTATTAGGTGTTACGGCTAATTATATTCAAGTTGTTTGTTTTTGCCCTTGTATACTAAAATTCTCTTACATATTTTCCTCAGCATATAACGAGAGTTACATAGTATTGTATTCATGAGTTTTGGTTCCTCTTTTTTGGAATAATAAATTTACTTGACTGATGAGCAACTGTGAGTATATTCGACAAGCTACTGTTTTATTGAAACAAAGCAAGAAGGAAAATATTAGCTGAATACTTTTAATTCGTTGTAATTCATTGTTTTCTCTTCATATACATATAAGCTAATGAGTTTGGTTAATTCAGGTTAACATTGCCTAATAAATGAAGTGTTAATCAATCATATGGTCTAATTATACTGGAGAGGTATATCAGTTATTTCATTGAAAAAACGTGAACCTGATTGCCAGGTGAAATATTGGATTTACTTCAAGTACATTCTTCCTCTTTACAATTATTAATTATTTTGTACTCGGAGGATTTTAAAATTACTTGGGCATATTAATTTTATTTATGGAGTTCTGCGGAGCGTGATTCTGAATATTTTCCATCGGTTAATCACATATAGGTAAAACAGTCTTTTTGTATATATTGTAAATGAACGTTTCCTGTTACAGCATATCACTGGGTGGTGATCAATGTCATGTGTCAAGTCCTTATTAGTACAGATCGAGTGCTATCGACCAGGTTGCAATGTGGTCAGCAGTCTAGGTGACTCGACACTGCGTGTACTATGTTGAGATTAGATAGTGGTTGGAGGGAGCACCAGTTCGCTCAAGATTACAGGTACACCTTGATGCTGAGTGCCGAGTAGCACGAAACCCGGATCCAGGGTTTCCTGTCGACTATCTCCAACCACTATCTAAACTCTTCAAAAGTACTGCACATCCACAATTTCACCAGGAGTCGGACGTTGGACCTTTAGATTTCACAGCGAGTGCTTAACCTTTAGACCACTGAGCTGATACCCAACCAAACTTCCATTATCTTCAGTAACTACCTTATATCTGACAGACTCCACTGATTAACAGCTTCTCACTATGAATTCGCAAATTACCTTTTAAAATTAGTCATTAGTGGCCATATGATAATCTCCACATAGCGCAAATAAACTATAAAAAAACTGATTACACTAAAGTAATAATAATTGACCAGTATTATTATTATCATTTTAAAGGTAAATCTACTAATCACTATGAACTGATTAGTTATGTGATCAACCTATAAGTTATGTAAGTATTGATTCACATATATATTCTTTTAACCAGTCAAGTTACAATCTAAAAATAGTAGTGATATATTAATAAGACTTGTGAAACTAACAATAATCAATCAATAAAAATAAATCTATCAAATTAATAGAAAAAACTTCTTGGAAAAAAAGGATTATTTCCGAATTAAAGTCAAACTCGACAACATACGGTATAGTTTCTATGTATAATTAGTTTATTTATAACAATTACAAGTGCATAAAAGATATTCTTATTTTTTCAATTTATAATTTAATATTAGTCTATAAACCTTTGTGGTATTACGGAAGCAATTTTTATAGAAAATTCACATAACTTAGCGAATTACCGAGCGAAAGAATGCTTGTTTAGTCGATAGGAGTGCCCCCAAATGCCCTGATACAGCCGAGAGTGGGGAGAGTCAGCTCTCTTTCTCGAAATGCTGTCACATGACCATGTGCATACAACCACTGACATGGAAGTTCTACTCACTGCCCTCTCGTGGCATTACTGTTGTTTACGAAATTGAGAAGACGATAAGCGAATGTTGGGTGCTTTAACCGGGTTGGTGGACATGGAGAGTCCACTTAGGGGAGTTGGAAAACCCTGATTCAAAACCAAAGGTGCACATGGGCTCCAGGATCCTGAAGGAACGAATGGCGTGTGAAACAATCGTTGGGACTGTATCTCCTGACGTTGCTCCACTACCTTGTGGATCATACCTTCAGGTCGAAGGTTCGGGGTGTGGCCTTTTAAGAAAACCACCTGCTTCGGTTTGGGCACTTGTACAGTATCACAGCCCTCACACAAGTCAAATGATTTGTGTGGCGCATATCTATTTGGTGCCCTCTTGTACCAATATCTATGTGTTAAAATAAATAAATAGATACAATGAAGAGTCTTGAATTCCGTGCCTTATTAAATTCAGTCAAGACACCGCAGCCTGAAATCCCAAAATATTATTTCACGTAGATTCTAAGCTTTCTAAATGCGATTTCTTAACATATTGTTGACTTTGTAGAATCTTTAACTAATCAAGTCTAAAAATACACGAAATAACCGCATGAGAACCATGATAGTATTACTTTTAGTAAAAAGGCTACTTAGTTGCTTACATCGTTGTAAATCAAATTATGTAGCGAAATTTCACCTTAAAGAGTGGAACGGCATCTAATGACATCATTTCTTTTGAGGTTATACTGGCGAATAATTGCAAAATAGCAAACTCAACTAAATTACAGGTGTTATGTTTATTGAGCATTTCAGCCGTTATGGTGGATACAAAAGGATATCCTTCTTATTTTATCTTGACAGATTGTTTGGTTTTGGTGTAACAGATCCAGATGGTCTAAGGTATTTGAGAAGACCACAAGTGATGATTGATTTGTTGTTTCTTGTGCAATACTTTTTAATACTTGATTTTTCCAGGTATTTTATGATTTAACTCATTATTATTTTTCAGCATCTTGTAATTCGCCATAAATACAACTACTCAAATTCAGCACATGATATCATCGAAGAAACATTTTCTTCGTTAAATGGTTTTTGTTTATAGAAAGGCAGAGTTTAGCGGAAATATAAAGAAATGAACATAAAGTGGACTCATCATTTTTATCGTCAAGAGTACCATAAAGTAGTTAGAACAAACTAAATATTTATCATCAGAGATTAAGTTATTTTGAACATCATGTTCATTATAGACTGAAGTCATTTGGAAATCTGTTGAAAATGACTGAACACAAAGTTCTAGACCAGACCACCTCAATATTTCATATCTGTGACATCCTGTGAGATAAAACTCAGGATTGACTGATCTTTTACAAACAGGATACATCATTGGCTCGCCAAGTCATCTAATAATCCAAGTTTTGAACTCAATCTTTTAGTCATATAACACGATTTTGACGTAATATCACTAATAAGCTAATTCACTTTAATGAAGTGAACTACCCTTCAGATCATGGTATCATACAAAAAAATAAAATTAATACGTTCGGACTCTCATCGCTTATGAGAAATTCAGTATTACTATGTTAGTCACATAGAGATGTTTGTTTACATCAAGAACTGTTGTGACTTGCTGAATAACTATCATAAACCATAGTCAACTAAACAGTTGTTTTGTTATTATTTGAGATTCATTCGCATTGTGTATTTAGTCAAAAGCTGTGATTTAGAACCATATATCGTAAATTGATTGGATTTAAAAATTTTACCTATTGGGTTCCTAAACATC